GTCACACAGGTTTTAACTTTTTTTGACGTAAAATAAGTAATAATAAAATAAATAAAACATGTTTTATATCTATTCTTATAATATTGTTTTGGTGTCAATATCGGGACAAATCACTCGTGAAAACTATCCCTCACCTCTCTGAGCACTCTCTGAACTGACACTGTCAAACATTAACCGCTGGTGTTCGACTCTTCTGGTTGGCGGGAGAATACTACACTCCAGCTGGCGGAGGAACTCCATCACCTCATTTAAACTCCAAAACCTTACTTATTTCACAAAAAAATATTTTAACTCAACAACTACTAAGCTGCGTGAATTGAAAACAGAAAAAGGGTATTAAAAATCCGCAAAAGCGTGCCAGTGACCTGTTCGTTGTATGTTCTTAATAATGGTACGTTTTCAACAATGAGGCGGATGTCCCCGAGGTCAGCGCTGCTTAAGTGGTAGGCCCACGTTTATCTACGGGAAAGGGGAGAGAAGGTGCTGCTCGCATTATGGACAAAGGGGAAAAGAAGATTAAGGCACGGTTTATACGATTCCTTTTGACGAACGATTTCGGAGTTTTAGTGAACACTAAACACCCACAGCACCCACTCCATAAATACCTAAACAAACACTTACAGCACCCACTCCAGAGTCTAATCTAGTGAAATGGGGAAACCTTTCATTTTTAGGTGACAGCGTAGCGCAAATATCTAAACGCTGATGCAAGAAATATTGCTGCCGACCTAACAATGTGAACCAGAGACGAACTACGTTCGGTGATACGATTTTTACGAAATATTTATACACATTTAATCTCAGAATAAAGGTCCACTCTGGGGGTGCCTGCTTGTCACAGTAGTAAGTCTACGTATGGTGTCGCAAGTTCGGAATTGGTGTGACGTCCGTAGCTGATGTTTTGCGCCGGGGCCTCGTCCACCGCGGCGCGACTTCAGAGACCACAGCAGCCCTTGAAGCCATCGCAATGGAAATCCGCCCAGTGACATTGGACGACATTGCAACAGCTACAGAGATGAGTCATGTTTCAGTACATTCATATACTGCATGATGTGCTAAAGTTTACTTAGGCGTCATCAAGATGGGTCCCTCGATAGCCAACTCACGAAATGAAGCAGCGAGGTGTTGATGCTTGCGAAGAACTTGTGCGGCACGTTGAACGCGACGGTGATGCCTTACTTGCACGAATCGTCAGCGGAGACTGAACCTGGGACAATTACAATCAGCCGGAAACGAAGAGGAGCGAGGAATGGCGCCAACCGACCAGAGACCGAAGTAATAGCAGTAAGAGAATACCTTTACCTTTATTACACCTTTATTCGAAACACCATTAAAAATACCGATATACGACATCAATACCGGTATTTTTATAAGTATTTTGCCTTTATCCGACGTCTATACCGGTAAAATACATCTATTTAAATGTATTACACCGGTATTTTATCATGAAAATACCGGTATATCTATGAAAAAAATACCAGCATTTGAATAGAATCATACTGGTATTTTGAGATTTGGGATTTTCATTGTGATTTTACCGCAGAGATGGCTCAGAGGAACAACTAGCACAACAGAGTTTCTGATCGGGAGTTTCTAAGTTTCTACTCTCGACAGTGTTAAATTTTCGACTCTAGCCATACTATTTTAGCTCGGTCGAATTCTGCCGTTGGCTGGAAAAGAATTCTAGTGATCGGGTTTTCTGAACAGAACGATTTCTCCTATCAGTTCTGGACTAATGCTAGAGAAATACATTAACAAACGGGCCACTGATCGAGCGTTATCTCTTCTTCCTCATTCTTTCGACATAAATACACCACTCTTTCAGGCGCTACACTACCAGACATCTCGGGAGACGAATCGCAGCCTAGAGTTTGTTCCGACTGATCGGAATGTATTTGTAGGGAAGGAATGTTCCTGAAGCCGACATAGAATTTGCAGCTACATATCACATCCTAGCGGGAGAGGAACATCCGCTTCTGAGGAATTATTGAATGACTGGTTTATTGATGTTTCCGACAGTTTCCACCTCGTCTCTCTGTCCCGTTTGTAGTGCATGTTTTATCCCGGGAGGTAGAAGCGTACATCCAACGCTAGATTGTGAGATCCGACGCTAACCTACATGTCGACTTGCAGGGAATTTCCCCCTCAAAGAAATCTCTCCTAGCGGGACACCGTTCTAACCAGAAAAAAAACTAAGTTCTCGACTGGTCTTCAGATAAATGTGATAGTGTAGAGCATGCGAGTGTGTGTGAGTGAGAAGAGGATTTGGACAAAGAAGGGGAAATAAAGATCGCGAGCGGCCCATGGTCCGTTTGATAGGGTACTGCTCCGGGATTCGCGTGGAATTGAATGGGAAATCACGGAAAACTACCGTTCAGAACAGCTGCCTTCTAGAATTTATCTCCAGATAGTGGCTCAATTCGACTTAGCTAAATTAAGCTAGAGAGAAAGAGTCAGAGAAATGATCAGTGAGACAGCGAGAGACAGCCGTCATTGTTGGCTCTGAGCTTACTCAGCCCAGCCTCACTTTTTCGAACTTCATTAAATTTGCGCAATCATGTAAAATGTTCATAAATGTATTAATAGCAAATGTCAAACACGTTTTAAAACTTTTGAGTTTGAATCAATCCTAAGTAGTAGAAATTTGTGGGATCGGAATCGAATAATGAAGAATATTTCCAAAAGGATTCCCCTGTCTGAACAAAAAAATAAAATTCCGTTCTCGGAACCGCCGCGCCCCGAATCCTTTGCCACATTGTAAGAGCAGAGAGGGCAGCGCCGCCGTTGCGTAGTCATCTTGGCTTCCGGAGGCCAGCGTTTCGGCCCACGGGCGACTTCGGTTCTGCCCCAAACATTGAGTTTTCTGTCAGACAGACGAGAAAGCACTCGACACATTCCAGGATATCAACTTCATTTCGCAGTTAGATGCATTGAATATTAGTTACACCATTCCTCGAGTGATTTTCATGTTTGGACCATTAAAAAAAGGAATATTTGGGACGAAGTTCCATTCGGATGACTAGGTACGACCGGCGGTGCACGAGTGGTTGCACTGTCTCCCCAATTATTTTGTACGTGAATCTACGAACATCGGAAGCATTGCATTGCGCTGAATTCCATTGCATTGCGCTGCATTGCATTGCATTGCATCGAGTGTTCTGGAGGCTATATCGAAAGGTAATGTAGGCGTCTTCTGTGTGTTCATAATAAATACACATTCAAAAATCATTACATTTTCATTTGACTCTCTCTTGTTTTTTAAAGTAGATGCTAAATGAAATACCTCGCGTTGTCCGGGTATTTACCAGAATCATCCCTTAGAAAGAAAAATAAATTCAATGCATTATACACCTCCCCTACCCTGTACCATCTTACTCAATCCCGCCCGCCCTGCCCCACCCTGTCCTGATATATCATCGTTGCTTCGGGCAAGCACCGATTGCTACATCCAGTAATAATTGTGTACATTGCTTACTACAAGGCAAATTGTGTTTCCGACGGAATCAAAATACATTAGGAAATGTTATTGGCTTTCAGATTTAATTGTCTTTGGTGTCCAGACTTACCCGCACCAATCTGGAACCACGAATTGTGACGACTACAAATAAGCACGTCACCAAATATTTTAAAGTTCAACAAGCTAGATTAGGATTTTAACAATTTTTTGCAATAGCACATGTGTGTATAAGACTTCCGCGCTAACAGGCGTAAATGCTTTGGCAAGAAGGAGACATCCACCACCTATTACACTTATTGCGCTTAAAAACATTAAAGCATTCGGAAATAGTGTTTTTTTTTTCCGCCAGCTGCACTCGGAGAAATGTTGGTTCCTTCGGAGTTGGTAGGGGGCGACCACTCCTAGAAAAGCACATATTTTGTGTCCACAAGTGTCGCGATACGAGAAGAGCCGGTCCAGGCGCGGCATTGCACGAATTAGCCTGAATTGTACTCCCAAATACAATAATGCTATAATTGGGCCCGAGCACGGTACAGTGTTGCGTGAAGAATGCTTTGGCAAGAACTATATCTTGGAAGAAAATTGTGATTTTTGGGTGGCGATTAAGTTATGCACAAACATTATAAACATTTTAATTCGTCATCACATGGTGGGTACATGCTATCTTTCGGTGCGTGTAAGTCTGGCCACCTGCATTGCAATTACATGAGATTAAAAAGGAATTTTTTTTCACAGACAAACTATTTTTTTATTATAGACAAAACCATAATGTTAACCAAGAACTATTTTAAGAAAAAAATATGTATAAACCCCAAAATATTATTTTAACTAAAAAACATATTTTGAAAAAAATGTTTATCCAAAACACCCTGGTTTAAACAAAAAACGTCACTTGGTGTTTATTTTTTTAAACTTTTTATTTTCTCCCTATCTGCCAGTGTGTTGTAAAATAACATACACGTATTGTGAATTTATTGCAGGATCGGATATAGAAATAGTAGATTTCTTGTAGAACCCGCATATACTGACACCTAATGAATATGATTCGCACAACATGCATTGTTGTTATTACAATGTATTGAATGAAAATATTTTCCCACTCTTTGAGTAAGAGATATATCCCACGAAATTTTCTTGCAGTTGCAATTTTCTTTGTTTAAATTTTAAAAACTTGAAATACCTTACGATTGTCAACATTGGTACAGGTATATTAAATCCAACTGACCATGAAGTATTTCAATTGGATTTCCTTGAACGTTTTTCTTTAACTAAGATACCAAGATATTTGTACAAAACATCAATCATAGCTCTGAGAATTGTATAAAATCTGCTGATTCAGCACCATGTTGAGTTTGTACAAGCAATAATTCTATACATCTTATTTTAGCAAGACAATAGTTCGCTCTTGCATTTCATCCCCTACTCCCAAACTTCTATTTCTATTCTATTCAATTTATTACTAATGTAAATTACTATTCAGTGTAAAAATATCACTATTATAATGATGAATAAATTAATGTTAGGGAAGACCCATAGGTAATACCTTAATTTCCGACAAATGTTTTATAGGACATGATCCATCGCTGTTTGGAGGAATGTGCAATTCCCATTTCCCAAATTCAAGTTTGTTGTAAGGATGACTATTTCTATTCCATTCATCTGAAAATAAAATGCTAATACAAGTACACAGATAAGGAAGCATTACATGTAAAATACTAACAAAACATAACACCCCTGATTATTACCAACACTGGATAATGTGAAGAAATGTTGGTTCTACATTTTGTACACCAATGTTATAACTCATTAATTTTAATTTGTGTAATTTTACAATAACTCATATTAAAACTTAATCAAAGGAATTTCTAAACTTAAATTTAATTGGCTGAATTTAAATGAATTTATATCAAACAAAATTTATGAAACACTTAAACAGTGTTCAAATGAACATCTTCAAGATTGCAATCTCTACATTATGAGCTCGAATTTTAGAAAGAGACAACGTTTTGTTGTTGACACACAGACAGACAGACACGCAGAAAGACAGACAGACAGACAGACACGCAGAAAGACAGACAGACAGACACGCAGAAAGACAGACAGACACGCAGAAAGACAGACAGACACGCAGAAAGACAGACAGACACGCAGAAAGACAGACACGCAGAAAGACAGACACGCAGAAAGACAGACACGCAGAAAGACAGACACGCAGAGACAGAAAGACAGACACACACAGACAGAAAGAAAGACAGTGAGGACGCACAGACAGAGAGGACACACATACGGACAGAGGAGACACACAAACAGAGACGTTTTGGCATGAATCGATTTTTCAGTATCGAGGAATCACAAAACAAGGATTCTGACTGCACAACGTATCTGCGGAATTTAACAAGATTTATCCACTTTTTCCTTACCACGTCCCGTCAATCCTTTTTATTCTGCCGAACATTCGCCGTTTTCCGGCGCACGATAAAAATACTTTATCTTCTTACGAAGTAAGGGCGAGAAAGTAAAAAAATGACAAATATTTGTAAAAAATCATACAACCTTCCTACTGCTTTGAGTTTATATAACAATGAACACAAGATGGATCTTCAGTCATCCCTTGTCTCCCTAAAACCAAAACCAGTATTGTTCAATAATCGAATGTACTTTGAAGTGCGGTACCCTACTACTTGGAAATTTGTGACCTTCGGACAGTAGCATTTTACGAGATTAAAAGTATAATTTCCCTAAACATTTCTGGAAACTAATTTCTAAAGTATGTTCTCTCATACTGTTTAAATTTTTGCTGCAAATGCTAACGGTCTTTTGCTAAACATACAGTATGTGTGTGAAACTGTTTTTTCTAATCTCACACAAAATAAATCAAAAACGAGAAATCACAAATACAAAGTGCTTCACTGGAATCGAGAATGAGACTTCGCCTTACTGAACTTACATTGAATATTGGCAAACTGGTGTGAGGAAAGTATTGCCAGCCATCACATTGATTTCTCGAATGTAAAACAAAGTGATATATTAAAGTAGTGAGTTCGTATTATATTCGTGATATATTAAAGTAGTTTTTTTACGTCTCAGGCCCGTTTAATAGTGCATTTTCATTTTTTTCAGATAAAATTTGTAATTTTACACTACTTACAGAAACGATTAAAGCTATCTTGATACCAGGGACGGATCCAGAGACACATTTTGGGTGGGAAAATTCAAAAGTTTTGGTCGAATGTGTAATATTACAGATTTTTGTAAAATGTCGCAGGCTACACTCAGCTCATGCTGCGATGCGATTTTATTCGCTTTAATAATATTTTTGCTTGAAAGTTTCGTGATAAGTTAAAATTAATAGTTTCGGAAAAATTTAATTAAAGTTAAATTTAAATTAAAAATTTAAAATTAAATTAAAATTTAAAAAAAATTAAAATTTAAAGATTTCCCTCTTGTCCCTCCCCGTGGATCCGTGTCTGCTGATACTACCAGGTCAGCTCTCTTATTTCACATAGACAAAGAACAATTTAAGAATATTTCATCAATAAATGACGTAAAAAAGAACGCTGTGCTTATCTTCTTTTAGGAATAGTATCTCGTTTAATAACCCTCTCAAAATTTTCCCTGACTCTTAACTATTATTCAACAAATTCCGCTTTAAATTAAAATAGTTCACCATTGTATATTACTTACTGAAGTCTCCAGAAAGGTAAACCTGCCTTGCACCAGGCGCCCATTCTCTGCAGGTTACAGAATTGTCGGCATTTACATGTATTCCATAATATTCATAGCCTTTGGAGAAGTTATTTATTCCTTCTTGTTCTGAAACTCGATCGACATAATCCTTGAAACATGCGTACCTAAAACAAAGTATAAAAAATCATTTTTCGTCGAAGATCTTATCAAATCAAGAATTATTCATTCTAATTCAAAACGTCATATTCTCTCTTAATTTTTATAAAATTAACGATTTCAGAGAAGCTAAAATAAAGAATCAAGATTCTTAACATTTGGTTACAGTTTTAACCCAATGTCGTTAATGATTTTTCATTTTATAGACTTGAAATGCGACTTTGGGGCGAAATGACCAAGCAATTGAGTTTCTTTTATACTAATTTATCGTTAAAAAAATGCAAGCAGGGGAGGGAAGTTACAAACTGCGTACGTTTTCTTGAACTCAGGAATCCCAACCCTCTCTCTTCAGTACAAATAACTGAATTATGAACAAGCGCTGATGTCATTTCATAATAAAAAAGTTCACTATCTTTTCATTTAAAAGTACTGCTAACAAAATAACTTAACTCTCTGTTCCTCTCACATCTAGCAAAAGAGCTCAATAAATAATGAGCTGATAGTGAAGGGATATTTACAGTCGAGAAACAAAGCAAGGGAGCCATTTCATAATTTGTTCAATGGATAAATGTAAACGGGATCAACAAATTGAGTTGAGGTAAAATGGTAGCTATTACTTCCGCCTTTATGCCTATGAAAATCAAGATACCTGAATCGCAAATTGTATGAAATTGACGTATTAGTAAGTGATTATCATTCATGCAAACAAAAGCTTTGGTTTAAGCATCGTTAATCGAACAAGAAAAGTTAATTTTATAAACAATTAAATTTTTAACAGGCGAAAATATTAATTTTATTCAATATTGAATATTAATGAGGTGAAAGTATCTTAAGATCAGAAACTAGAAATAAACTAGCTATAATGGGGAAACACGAATAGGAAATTTCTAAAACTAGTGGTGCTACAACAGCAAATACACTCTGCAACGGCTATTATATAACACTACGTGAACCTGTAGTCAACCCTTTAATCAGCATCGTTTTTTCTAGATGGGAATTCAAACTCAGTACTGAGTACTTGAACGGCGACGAAAAAATTATTAACTTTTGCAGTTTTCGAAAATACAGAGTTTCAAATTAGACCTGCGTCATTTTTCTACGAGTATTTCTATATTAAAAGAAAATAATTAAAGAACTGAGGAGCTTCAACAGCACAAAACTTTCGTGCATTTTTTAAACACTTGCTATTTTCGAAAATTCAGAGAGTTCCATGAAAATGAGACCTGCCCCACTTTTTAAAGCTTCATTAACTCCATCCGAGAGAAAAAATAACAAATAATTAGAAAATGATTTTGAGAAAATAATTTTCTTCAAACACCCTACATTTCATTAATAATTATGCGAAATTGCTCATATTTGCGGAAAATTGTACATGTTAAATTGTACATACATTAAAAGATCTTTTTATTAGAACATGTTTCATTTATGCAAAAAGTTCTATTATCAATATTGTCATTTTGCAATGTTCATTGATCATTGTCGTGTTTATTGTCATTCGGGTTAGGTTCCCCAAAACGGTTCTGGACTGGGTAGCGGCCATAGCCTGAAAGAACGTCCGACAAGAAGAGTCGCAAGCAAACTTTTCATTATTAAATTATATTATTTTTACGTACTACACCTGAGATTGAAAGAACCAGACAAATGTTTTACTTTCTCGTATACGTATGTATATACGTAGTATATACGTAGTATATACAAAAATATGTAATGCTGCCGAAAACCGATTTCGATATTTCAGCGGAAATACATAATTTTGGGGTCGCCCAATACGGAAAGAAGTGTTGTTTTTTTTCTTCCCAAAACGTCCGTCCGTGAACACCAAGAGCGCCGTAACCACGCGTAGGTTTTTTTTTTTTTTTTTTCAAAATGAACTCCAGTCCATCTGGCTTCAGTCGAAGCTTTGAGACTTTACAGGAGCCCTTGTTGTGTTCAAAATTTTCTCAAATATGGCTTTAAATGTTTCTTTAATTTTTTTGGGGGGGGGGGGCGGTGAATAGAATATACTTATAAAGACGGCATAGGTCCGTTTTCACCGTTAACTCTGGATTTTTCGAAAATTTGGAAATATTTAATTTTTTACGGGTTTTCCTACAACTAAAAAAGTCAAGATTTCACAAAAGTTATTTTACTAGCCTCTCACTTCGTCAGTATCGACATTGGTGGCGATTTGCACATATTATTGCATTTACAAGTAAATTTTCTTTAAATGATTGCTTTATAAAGATTCTCGAAAACTAAAATGTTTTCATTGAAAATGAACTCAAAATTCCGCCTTTTCACAAACGCTTTAACGTCATTTTCTCAAAACGGCTCCAATTTTTTTTTTCAACTTTTCGTACGGATAGAGCTAATTGCATTGTATAAGACGACATAAAATTAATTTTGATCTATTCTTTTGTTTACAGAAAAATTACATAAATGTGAATTCTTTCAAACATCTCTCACGCCTTTAATATGACGATTTGCAGCGATTTGTATACATTGTATACATTATTGCTTAGTGGAAGAGCTTTAAATGGCTTCAAATGAAGTTCACTCAATAAATTTCAGTGAAAAAGTTTCAAATTTCGCATTTCAAGTTATGCTTAAACACCATTTTCTCAAAAACGGCTCCAAAAATTTCAACGAAAATTTCCTTATGGGACGAGGACTCTTCTATATGATTCTTAAAGTAATAATTCGGTTCTACAATAAGGAAACCGAAAAATTGAGAACTAAAAAATGTACTTGTTCTTATATTTGTACTAGTTCTTTCATTACGGGCATGTACTGTTTTTAACTTTCACTTGTTTTCGTGCAAAATGTGCAATTTTAAAAATAACAAAAACCAGATTTTCTCAAAAACTGTTCCACTTTGTTTCTTCAAAAGAGACTGAGGTGCACTTCGGGAATCACTGCATATATTTACTTTTCGTGAGGCACCTGATTTTATGAATTTCGGGACTTGCAGAACATCGAACTTCTCAGCAGAGAAAACGCGACAGTACGGGAGAATTTTGAATGACCGTGTGGTTCTACAATAGAACGCACATGCCACAGAATCATTTGTGGCAGAGCCGTCATTGTGCAAGAAAGTACGGTCTGGATAAGATGATCTCAACTCATTGAATCTCTTTGGATATACTATAGGTGAAGTTGATGTTTTAGGAAGGTTGGATAAGCTGAAATCTATTAGGGGGTCGGAGACGTTTCCATAGAGGGACCAGATTTTTGGGAGGTTTCACAGGGGCAGAAAGTTTCAGGTTAAGCTCTCGGAACAAAGTGCAAATGCGGATACCAGGTGGTTTAGGTAAAAATGGTCTCCTTGTCAGTAGTTCGGAACCTGGGTACAAGAATGCTCGCTCAGATCGACCATCCAGCTTCAGCCAAGAGACACTCGATACGGCTCGGGCAATAGGCACCAGTGCTGATGCGGATTCCGGCATGGTGAATAGCATTGAGGAGTCGTAAAGTTGAATGTGACTTCATACAACCCTGCCATAGTCCAAAACAGATCGAATAAATGTCTTATATAACCGTGCGAAGCATGTATGATCGGCGCTCCATGAGGTACTACTGAGGTTGCGAAGTAGGTTTAATGGCGATACACATCGGATCTGCAGGTTACGAACATGTTTTCGCCACGTCAGGCTTTTGTCGAAAGTCAGAACAACAAAGGAAGCTGCGTCAACAAACGGGAGTAGGTGGTTTCCAAGTAACATATCTGGGTAATTATGGAGGTGATATATCCTGCGGAAGTAAATGCACTTTGATTTTGAGGGGAAGAACGTAAATCCCGTTTCGCGCTCGATTCATTAATTATATGCAGGAGAGTTGTAATTGCTTTCGGATGACGTTCATGCTCTTGGATGAGCAGAAAATTGCAAAATCATCAACAAAAAGAAATGCCTTTACAGGCTCTCGTACGACTGCATTATGTCGTTAATTGCAATGACATACAGAGTGGCGCTCAGAAGTGACCTCTGAGGAACTTCATTTTCCAGAGGGGGACTGGAAGATATTTTGGAGTCCGCGTTGGCGGAAAACTATCTTGAAGAGAGGAAATTCATAAGGAACAGAGAGAACTGTCCTCTAAGTCCTCAAGAGTGCAAAGTGCGAAGTATGCCGTGCCCTTAAGTCATGACATAGGCTTTCTCAATGTCAAAGAAGACGGATACAAGGTATTGTCATAATACGAAGTGTATATCTGCGAAGCAAGAGTCACCAAAGTATTGGTGTTAAAAAGTTTCATTACTCCAGGAGCCAGACAGAGCTAGTAAGCGAAATTGGTCGATAACTCGAAGGAATTATTCGATCCTATCCTTCCTTAGAAACAGGGATTACATTAGCCTCGTGCCAGTAGTGTTAGGAATGATGTGTTCGTTCCAAATGCGGTTGAAGAGGTTTGGGAGGAACGATCGCGCCTTCTCGGGTAGGTGTTTTAACATTTGGTTGTGGAATTGGTCAGGTCCTGGATCAGTGTTTTCAGAAGAGCAAGTGCAGACAATAATTCTCCCGTGGGAAAGAGGGAGTTATATTCCTCTTCTCCGCCACTTGAAAAATCCAGTGTATTATTTTCTTCTACTCTTATAATTGAGAAACCTTGCACAATGTTGCGAAGAACTGGAGATCTTCTCATAGGGAGAAGTCAGTTTCTCTGATATATCTTCAGGGGAGGTGATTACATTTCCGTTCACCAGCAACCCTGGAACGTTCGGAGGAGGAAGACTTCCCCCTATTTGGTGAACCTTTCGCCATACCACTTTAGAAGGTAACCGCCATGGCAAGAGAGAGAAGATAGATAGGCTCTCCAAGAAGTCGTTTTGCTTTCGTGTATGACCATTTTGGCCCTGGTTCTACACCTCTTGTATTCGATTAAGTATTCAAACGGAAAAAAACCTATTGAGCGTGGAAAACGCTCGCTTCCGCTCACGAACAGCGGTGGCACAGTTTACGTTCCATCAGGGTACAAGACGACGTCGTGATCGGCCCGTCGTTCTCGGTATGGCGATGGTTGCGGCGTCGAGAA